GATTTTACTTGGTGAGTATCCTGCGAATCTCCCTGGATTCATTCCGCTTTTGTTGAGTTTGATTTTGTTTTTATTCACCAAAATCTATGAAATTGCTACTTGCAAGAGTCATGTTCTGAGATTTGAGCTCGAGATTCTTACTGCTCTGTTTTCAATCTGCTGGGTATAATGAATCGGAATGGAGCTGCGCAAATAGCTATCTCATTTCTATGATTAGCTTATTCGCTCGAAATACTGATATTTAGTGCTGGGTTTGCTCTGTGATTTCTTCTATAGTTAGATAAATTCTATTGCTTGAATCTGATTTTAGTTGACTCTGAAGTTTAGGCTAATTTTTCAGTGAAAATGGTGGTTTGGCTGATGAGATCTCCAGGATAATTTGTCATTTTTCTGGAAATTATTGATTCAGAATCTGAATGTGTCTTGCTAAATAGAAGGCATAACATAACCATTTGTGATGACTTGAGTTCTGATTGATCCCAGGAGTTCTGTTTGCGATTTTTGATCTTGACTGTTCTTAGCTTATGCAGAAAGGTGGACCATGAGCTCAAGAAGACGTGATAAACATTGTATGTAAGGTACAAAAACAATGTTATAGGATCACTCGAAGCTAGCTGAGATGGATACGAGGTGTGTTTTTCTTGTGAAAGAGATCTTCCTGCATTTTGTGGTATTTGACGTCCTTGCTAATTTTGAAGCTTGATAAACTTGTGTATCCTCAGGACTGGAGATAGAGAATTCTCAAATGGTGATTTCTATTCTGGCGAAGTTAAAGGATTGCTTCCTAATGGGAAGGGAAAGTATGTATGGTCAGATGGAACTATCTACGAAGGGGATTGGGACGAAGGCAAAATCTCTGGTAAAGGAAAGCTTATGTGGTCATCTGGAGCGAAGTATGAGGGAGATTTCTCTGGTGGATACCTTCATGGTTTTGGCACCATGACTTCACCTGATGAATCTGTATATAGCGGAGCCTGGAGAATGAATGTAAGGCATGGGCTTGGGAGGAAAGAGTATTGTAACTCAGATCTGTATGATGGTTCATGGAAAGAAGGGTTACAAGACGGGCGTGGTAGTTATTCTTGGACCAATGGAAATAGATATATAGGGATTTGGAAAAATGGTAAAATGTGTGGCCGAGGGGTTATGAGATGGGCAAATGGTGATCTTTTCGACGGCTTTTGGTTGAATGGGTTTAGACATGGTTCTGGAGTTTATAAGTTTGCTGATGGATGTTTATATTTTGGAACCTGGTCTCGTGGCCTAAAAGACGGGAAAGGAGTCTTTTATCCTGCTGGAACTAAATATCCATCTCTAAAGAAGTGGTCTCGCTCTCTTGAATATGATGACACCGGAAAGTTTGGACTTTCTCGTAGCTCATCAATAAATGTTGAGGAGCTAAGGCATTTGAGCACTGTGACGGAAAGTCTTTCCGTGAAATCTTCAGCTAGTGGAACGGCGAAAACTTCGGGTAGAATATCGAATAGGTTTCCGGATGAAAGTTGGAGCAATTCTGATCCCCCAAGAGACTTTACATGTTATGGGCCGTTATCTAAGTCTGCAAGGTTTTCTGGCCCCGGCCAAAGCGAGAGACAAGATAAGAACCGTATCGTTTATGAAAGGGAATACATGCAAGGAGTTTTGATTAGAGAAACTGTGACGAGTTCTGTTGACAAGTCACACAAAATAAGACCTCCAAATCTTCCTAAAGAAGTCAGGCCTAGGACTTTTATGACATTTCTAAAGGGCGAACATAATTATTATCTAATGCTAAATCTCCAACTTGGTATCAGGTAAACATCAAATATATTTCACAGTTCTCTTAAGACTGCTCCTTTATAGGCTTAAACTCATTATGTGTTTTATTTCTGCGATACTGTTTGATGATGAGTCACATTCGCATACGGGAAAAGATACAACCTGTGTGCATATCTATTATGATGGCCTTATATATTCTCTGCATACTTCACTAAGATTGCATTATAATTTGTTCTTCCTCTAACACAGCAATCTTTTGAAGTTCACAGGTATACTGTTGGAAAAATTACGCCAGTACCTAGGAGAGAAGTACGTGCGTCTGACTTTGGTAAGAAGGCCAGAACAGTGATGTTCTTCCCTAGAGACGGCTCAAATTTTACACCTCCTCACAAATCTATCGACTTCTCTTGGAAAGACTATTGTCCTATGGTTTTCAGGTAAAACAGTTTTCTTCAGGCAGATACCAAAGAAGTTTTGAATCAGTAAAAACCATCTATCATTGTGTATATTAGGTCTGGGGTCTGATTTCAATTTAAAACACTTGTAAAAGTTATAAACTTCTTAGGTTTGCCTTATATATGTTGTTCCTCTTGATCAGATAAAGTATCTTTCTTAAGGATCGAACAACTATTGCTTGTTCACTAAATCGATATTCTGTACCTGTTTTTCAATGAAATGTTTCAGGAATTTGAGGGAGATGTTCAAGTTAGATGCTGCGGAGTATATGATGTCTATTTGTGGTGATGATGGCCTGACAGATTTTTCGTCCCCTGGGAAAAGTGGCAGTATCTTCTACCTTTCTCACGACGACAGATTTGTGATCAAGACATTAAAAAAATCTGAGTTGCAGGTTTGAACTAACTGAACAAAGATGTGATTTGACTCTTGCTCGTCTTTACCCATATTAGTAGTTTAGTCTAACTCTGTTAGTCAGTGGTGGTAACATTCTACAATGTCAAAATGTTACAGATACTTAGGACTAAAGTCATCCAGCCTTTTTTGATTTGTAGGTTCTACTCAGAATGCTGCCTAGGTACTATAAACATGTAGGGGACCATGAAAACACACTTATAACCAAATTTTTTGGAGTTCACAGAATAACACTCAAGTGGGGGAAAAAGGTAAGAACTTCTTTGGTCCCTTTTATAGCTTAGTTTCCATTGTGTTTCCAATTTTTCTTTAGCATGAGCTTTTTGGTCTTTTGATAGGTACGTTTTGTGGTCATGGGAAATATGTTTTGCACAGAACTGAAGATTCATCGTCGATATGATCTTAAGGGATCATCACAAGGGAGATTTACTGAAAAGATTAAAATCCAAGAAAAGACCACCTTGAAAGACCTTGATCTTGCTTATGAATTTCATATGGACAAGCTGTTGCGGGAGGCCCTCTTCAAGTGAGCGCTATACCTTTTTCCCTTTTCGTTTTCTGTTGTGAAAGATATGCTATACTCAGCTGAATGACAAATTGTCGACAATTTCTTGCTACAATTTCTTGCTAAAGGGAACATCTCTTACAGTCTCTTGGTACATCAATCCTAAGCAATGATTAAGCACCTGTATTTTCATGAACATTTCTGATTGTTTGCGAAACTCCCTTGTTTATTTGACATGGCAGGCAAATTTACTTAGACTGCTCGTTCCTGGAATCTCTGCAAATCATTGACTACAGTCTTTTACTGGGATTACATTTTAGAGCTCCTGGGCAACTTAATGATGTCCTTGAGCCTCCTAACGCAATATCAGATCAAGAGAGTGTTTCTTCTGTAGATGGTAGGTGTCAATGTTTAAAGAGGATACATTTTTGCACATTATATAAAAGTTTGTCGTTTGCTTAAGGTAATTCAGCAGTGAGCTTGAATTCTATGAGTATCCTCACGCAAGCTTATAAGCCACTTCATGCCTTCATGTTAGAAGATGATTACAGAACTGAGAAATGAAGCAATGGGCTGTGTATAACTTAGTTTCATAATTTATTTTCAGTCGGTCTGACTCAGGAACTCTCCATTCCTCCAAAAGGATTGCTATTGGTAACTCACGAACCCAATTCCGTGAATACTGCCCCGGGTCCTCACATCAGAGGAAGCACACTCAGAGCATTTTCCGTTGGCGAGCAGGAAGTTGATCTTATTCTTCCCGGAACTGCAAGGTTACTCTTTTCCTTTCTTGCTTTCTTCATTTGACCCGTGCTTATAGCTGAACAATACCGTTGGATCTATTGTTTTAGGTTGCGGGTACAATTGGGAGTGAACATGCCAGCTCAAGCTCATCACAAGCTTATCGAGGACAAGGAAGAGTCTGCGACAATTGAGCTCTTTGAAGTATATGATGTGGTTGTGTACATGGGAATCATAGATATTCTACAGGAATATAACACCAAGAAGAAAGTGGAGCATAAATGCAAGTCTTTACAGTATGATCCGATGACAATATCTGTTACCGAACCTGCGACTTACTCGAAACGATTTGTCAATTTTCTACACAAGGTATTCCCAGAAGAAAGGTAGGATCAACAAAATCATTTGTCTTCCTTTTAGATCATCTAGTCTACTCAATGCTTTTATACATCCTTGATGTACATTAACATTAAAAAACCTCACAATGAAAGGTTTCATTATTTTGTTATGAGCAAATTTGTTGTAAGATCAATATGGCTCAGGAAGTCAGGATAATACTTCTATTGCAACATATATGGAGAGGTTTTTTCCTTTTGCCACAATTTTGTCTTTCATAAACATAATGTATATACAAACAAGTGTAACTAGAATTACAAAAAAAACGAAGCCAGAAAAAAGTTTTAAGAAGTAAAACAAGCGT